ATTGGGTGGGTGGTCACGTGAAGTTGGGCGAATTTTGACCAAGTCCCTTAAATTGCGTTACGGGACTAACAGGGTGGCCCACTTTGTATGGGAAAAATGCCGTGCACGGACCACTTACATAGTAAAGGATGTCCCCAGGAAGATCTTTTGAACACTTTAAGGCTTGCTGGCCATTTCCCCGCCAGCGACATAACTTCAGCGCCGAATTGAATTTTTGAAATATCTCAGGAACCACGCCAGTTGGCAACTTCTCGTAAACGGCAATTTCAATTTAACTCCCTGCGCTACATTTTGGTACCGGTCTTGAGTCTGTTCGACCAGTATTGCGATGTTGCGCGCGTCAAAGGGCGTTGGGCCGGTCCCGTCAGGGGCCTCCGGCGGCCCATTGAAAAATTCGCCAACGAACAGAGAGCGCGTACTGAACGCCAACCACACTGCACACGACCTTCTGAAAGAGCTTGGAAGGGGTCAAAACGCTGCAAAACCAGCTCCTAAGGTCGTCAACTTCCTCCGCCAGGTGGAAGACCTGACGAAGGACCTCCTGTCGACGCCCCTGACCGATTGGCAGCAGGAGCTCGAAGCGCTGCGCAGGGATCTCAAGCAAGAGATCCAGGCTGTCAAAGCAGCAGTAGAACCGCCAGTGAGGCAGACGGTTCGATCATTCGCAGATATGGTCCGCACAATGCCTGCGCCAGCGCACTATCTCTCCTCGAGCAGCTCCTCGAGCTCGCCAACGCGCCCATCGGAGGTAGCACGTGACCGCGAAGTGGTAGTCTGTCTAGGCGACCGCTCGCAGGTTAGTGTGTTCCGCCGTCTAACGAGTGCTGAGCTCACCAAGCGGGCAAACCAGGCTAGGGCGAAAGCAGCCAGAACCACAGGCACGCCGGCCCTCGCATCGGTCAAAATCATCGCATCGCGCCAGCTGAAATCAGGCGATCTCCGATTCACCGTGTGCGATGCCAAGGAAGCCGAAATCATGCGAATCCACCGCGATAAGTGGCCGAAAGGGCTCTGCAAGACGGCATACGTGCATATGCCAACCTGGGGGATTGTCGTCCACGATGTCAACGTGCGCTCGCTCGGCATCAATAAGGCGTCAGAGGATCTTACCGGCGTGCAAGATAAGGTTATTAAGGACCTGCTTGCGAGCAACGTGCAAAACTGGGGCGAAGGGGCAGAGATTACCAAGATCAGCTGGCTGCGTATCCCATCGGGGAAGAGTGGCTCGTTAATAGTGGAGTTCACTTCTCCAGTGCCAGCTAACGTGGCGATCGATAAAGGGGTCCTCTGGGATTGCGACAGCCTGATAGCGGTCCTATACGATAGGGCGGCGCGTGTGCGGCAGTGCTTTAACTGTCAACAATACGGACACATAGGAACCACCTGTGCCAACGCCGTCAAATGCGTGTATTGTGCGGAGGGCCATCAATCTCGGGATTGCCCGTCGAAGGATACACGGGAGAACAAGTGTGCCAACTGCGAGGGCACACACGCTGCATGGAGCACGGAATGCGAGGCACGCCAACGTGAGGTTGAAAAGATAGCGGAGCTATCGAGATATCGGGGAAGATACCACCATATTCCGGCTCCATACAGCATCAACCAGCCGCCGGCTACCTTACATTCCTCCTCCGCCAGCTCGTGGGGGACACCGAGGGATTCATCGAGCGAAGAGCTCACTAGCGGCGTTGAGAGTAGCGGTCTCACGCCGGCCGCACGCCCTAGCAACGGGGGCAAGGGCACCGGCCCTACAACAGCAAGCCGAACGGGAACTGGCCTACAAGCTAGTCAGCATACAACCAACACGACAGATCAATCAGTGACGACAGCGTCGTCAGGCAGAAAAAGAGGGAGACCGCGAAAGACACAGAAGGAGAAGGGTGCATCCCGGTCAATGGATACGAACGAGGACGTGACCGAGCCAACGAGCGGTCAAACCCAAGAACAGTCGATTATTATCGACCAACCGACAACCAGCGAAGAGCAGCCAACATTCCACTTCTCGGCGGCACCAAGCACCTTTCAGTTCTCCGCCGGAAGCAGCTTCGCCCCACGGCAACTCGACAATATCGAGTTTCGACCAGAAGGACCGAGCTCGCAGGCTACCACCGGCAGCAGCGCGCAATCCAAGGCCGATAAAGCAAGGGCAAGAACGGCGAAAGCGAGGGAGGCGAGAGCAAGAAAGATCGCTGAAAGAAAGAGCAGCAGTAACGACACTACCAACAAGTCACTATGCGTCATAAGCCTAGCCGAGACCGCTAGCCAGGAACGAATTGAGTCGGAGCTTAGCTCAGAGCTTGATGAGGTCAACATGAGAGATCTAGAACGTCAGCTTGAGAGCCACAAGGGTGATCGGGACTATCAACCATCGTCACCACCAGCACAAGAAGGGCGTAGGAAGCGAAAGCAGCCTCACAGCGAGGATCTATCTCTCAACATCCGCTCAGCCGGGAGACGCAGAATGCACAGCAGGAAATCTTCCCGATCGAACCGCCAATGAATTATCACAACCACCAGCAACACACACCAAGGGAACTCAAGATATACCAATACAACGTGCACAGATCGAAGGACGTGGTTATGGCGCAATTCCTACGTGAAGAGGATGTTATTAGCGCCGATATCATCGCTATTCAGGAGCCCTGGGAGAATCCATTCCAGGATGACACCCACCACCCGCTAAAGCAGACACACGAGATACTACATCCATCAGCGAGCGAGACAGGAGGTAGAGCGAGGGTGTGTATGTTCGTCTCGAAGAAGCTAGGCGAATACACTCACCTAGTGCACTCTCGTGACTGCCAGGAGATTCGCGTCAAGACCAAGTCATCGAAGGACGTGGTTATGGCGCAATTCCTACGTGAAGAGGATGTTATTAGCGCCGATATCATCGCCATACAGGAGCCGTGGGAGAATCCGTTTCAAGACAACACCCACCACCCGCTGAAGCAGACGCACGAGCTGCTCTATCCGGCAGCGAGCGAGACAGGTAGCAGAGCGCGGGTGTGCATGTTCATCTCAAAGAAACTAGGCGAACACACTCACCTAGTGCACTCTCGAGACTGCCATGAGGTACGCATCAGGGGACTTCGAATCGTGAATGTGTACAACGACCAGCAGTACAGTTCATCCGTCAGCCTATTACAGAAGACGTTAGCGCCTATTCGCGAGCAGAAGGACTTTTCATACCTTATAGTGGGGGATTTCAATCTGCATCACCCGGCATGGGGCGGCGACGATGCCCCACGCGATACAAGGGCAGACGATCTCCTAGATCTCATGGAAACAGCCGGTCTAGATAACTGGTTAGCACCCGGCACTACCACGCGTGATCAAGCTGGCTCGCAGTCCACAATCGACCTCGTCTTTGCATCGTACTCGCTACGAGAGCGGATGGTAACGTGCGAGGTTGATGAGAGCGTGCATGCTGATTCAGACCACCTACCGATACTCACCTTGCTCGAAACCAACGTGCCAGAAGCTGCAGATCCTGTTAAACGTCGGAATTGGAAGGCGATGGACGTGGAGAAATTCCTAACCTTCGTGTCAGCGAACCTACACATGATTCAACTGCCAGAAGCACCAGACGAGATCGACCGCGCTGTTGATTACCTACTCGACACCGTCCAACAAGCAGCCCAACAGTCAACACCGTGGGCAAAGCCGTCAGCTTGGGCTCGCCAGGGATGGACCCCAGAGTGTACAGAGGCGATTAAGGCCTCACGAAGGCAGTTTCGACAATATACACGCACACACGCCGATGAAGACTGGAAGGAATACACGTTAACAAGGAACGCGAAGGGGAAGGTGATCAAGAAAGCAATGAAACAGGGATTCCGCCAATGGGTGCGAGAGACGGTTAACCGAGGTCCCCGCGGTCTGTGGAAAGTGTCAAAATGGGCGAGAAACCGAGATCAGGGATCAGCCAGCAGTAATATCCCTACCCTGCGCTGGCAGGGAGGCCTCGCAGAGACCAACCAGCAGAAGGTCGACCTACTTCGCCAGGTCTTCTTCCCACAACCCCCGCAGGCCGATCTCTCCGACATCCATTCAACCTCACACCCGAATCAACTCGAATCGAATCAGCTTACCTTCCCAACGATCTCTCAGCAGGAGGTACGCGATGCGATAAAGCGGGCTCCGCCGGATAAGGCACCTGGTGAGGACGGTATCCCGAACCGCGTATGGAAGATGCTAGCAGATAACAACCACGAGTTCGTGGCTACTCTAACAGCTATCTTCGATGCGTGTATGCGAACGGGCTACAATCCTCGACACTTCCAGGCCTCTATCACGGTGACGCTTCGTAAGGGCGGCCCACGCGATTTCCGGCAGCCAAAATCGTATAGGCCAGTGGCCCTATTAAACACCCTCGGCAAGATCCTCGAATCAATCGTTGCCACACGTATCGCGTGGGCAGTCGAAGAGCATGGCCTACTACCAAAGACCCACCTTGGTGGCCGGAAGGGTATCTCAGTAGACCACGCGATCCAGTTAATCCTTGACCGAGTGCACCGCGCATGGGGCACCGGCACCGGCAGGAAGGTCAGCATGCTACTGCTCGACGTAGCGGGCGCCTACGACAACGTCTCACACGAACGGCTACTTCATAATATCAAACAGCTCCGCCTAGGCCACTTCGAGCCATGGATTGCATCGTTTCTTAGGAACAGGAGCACTCGCATCAAACTACCAGGACACCTATCGGATAGCTTTCCCACGCCCACCGGTATCCCACAAGGATCGCCTATTTCGCCAGTCCTGTTCCTACTATTCAACGCGCCACTGATCTCTGCGTGCGGCACCGATAGGAGGATGGCAGGTGCTAGTTCCTGCGGTTTTGGATGGGTTGACGACGTGGCGATCCTGGTGGAATCAGAATCATACTACTCGAACGTCCGGGCGATTGAGAGAGTACTCGAGAAAGCAGATCTGTGGGCCAAACGACATGCAGCAAGATTTGCACCCGATAAATTCGAACTTATCCACTTCGCCAATCCGACAGAGACCGAAGCAAGCCAATCTATCAATTCAACAGCCACTACTGGATCCGACATCTTCGACTACACGACACAACACCCCGAGGGTAACGACCAAATGCCCGTCCGACACAACGACCTAACAATACAACCAACACAGTCCGCTAAGTATCTAGGTGTCTGGCTTGACAAGCACCTCGATTTCAACACACATCGCCAAAAATTACTCGCAAAGGCCAACGGCAGCCTAGAAGCCCTCCGGGCGATGACAGGATCGGTATGGGGCGCCTCACTGGTGGCGATGCGGAAGGTCTACCAGGCAGTGGTGATACCACAGATGCTCTACGGGGTGTCTGTGTGGCATTGCCCGATAGCAAGATCCTTACCCGCATGGGAGATGAAACGCATAGTTAACGAATTCACCAAAATTCAAAGGCGTGCGGCGATTCTCATCAGCGGCGCTTTCAAATCAACCAGTGCGGCAGCGCTCAACGTGGAACTTTTCCTAACACCAGTACACCTACTCATGGACCAACTCATTCAAGAAACGGCAATACGAATCCAAACAGGTGCCGTGTGGGCCCAGCCAGAGTGTCTACGTCGACAGCAACCACGATCACCCCAGGAGATCCGGAAAGGGGGATGGAGCCCTCTTGAAGCCCTTAGGTGGAAGAAGGACGGTATTTTGAACCAACAAGGAACGTGGGAATCGCGTAAAGCGTTTGTTCTAGCGCCATGGGAGGCACGGATCCCATGCGTCATTGACCAGGATGCAGAGGCTGCGCGAGCCTCGCATGATAAAATTGAAGCCGCACTAGACCGAACCCCGACGGTCTTATTCTTCACAGATGGTAGTGGGTACGAGGGCATGGTGGGTGCCTCGGCCGTTGCCCCGCGTGAGGGTATTTTCGACCGACGGCACCTTGGAACAACCGACGAATCCACAGTGTACGTTGCCGAGCTCAACGGCATTGAAATGGCGATTGCCAGGTTCGTCAACCAACATCAAGATGATATTAGGCCCACGGGGTCTACCAGGCCCGCAAGGCTCATCGTTTTCTCCGACTGCCAGGCCGCCATCCAGGCGGTGCAAAACCCAAAGCGATCGTCGGGCCAGTTCGTGCTCAACCGCATTTATAACCACGTCCGGGTCCTTCGATCGCTACAAACGCCCACGTTCGATCAGATTCCCATCGAGATCCGTTGGATCCCCGCACACGTGGGCGTTCCTGGTAATGAGACTGCCGACGTTGAAGCAAAGTTGGCGGCAACGGGAGGTGGAGTGGAGAACGGAGCGGAACAACCCTACCCCGAGGGGTCCGCTGGTCGAGTCCTTCTAGCAACGACCGCGAAACGTCGAGTGCGGCGACGGATTAAGGAGAGATGGGCACAAGAGTGGGCAAAGGAGCGAACTGGTAAACCGAACCAGCGGTTGGTCAAAGTTCCAGACAAGAGGGTGCTTCGGCTCTTTGATTCTCTATCAAAACCGTACACCTCGATTCTGATTCAGATGCGGTCAATGCGCATTGCACTGAACCACTTCTTGTATAAAATCAAGGCGGTCGAATCAGATAAGTGCTACTGCAGCGAGGGGTCTCAGACACCAAGACACATCTTAATGCAGTGCCCGTTGTACGCTGATCTGAGGAAGACCCTCCTTGACAAGATCCGGATGACCGATCTTGGGGATTCGACGGATTACGATGCAATTGTATCGCACTCGCAGGCCACCCGCTACGTGGCCGAATTCATGTTACAAACAGGCCTTCTGGGACAGTTCCGGCACGTCGAAACTGAACCAGAACCAACAGGCGAAGAAACAATAGGCCAGGACAGACTGGCAGGCACAGGGGGTGAAGACGCTGGGTAGGAGGAACGCTAAACCCAGGGCCGACCGAGAGGTCTTGGAAAACTACATCCAACATCAACGAACGCCACCAATCGAGAACGAAGCAGGAGGATGTGGATGCTGGAGAAAGCAGAGATGGAGATGCGGAGGAAGCGGCAGGCCAATATGAGGGCGAACTGAGAAATATATTGTGGGACTGAGGGTATTACGGGCGTTTTGGTACTGTTATTGGGCTGATTTTATATGGCAATACGCCGTTTTCCTATGTATATACTGTTTCATGCGCACTGGCGTTCGGATCACTCTTGCTTCCGCCGGAGGAAGCGCCTGCATAGCCATTACGCCACTAGTTAGGCTGCAACAGGTTAATAGAGTGTTGATTGATTGATTGATTGATTGACGCTTTGTCTTAGCCACAGGGTGGGATTTTCCAGAAATGGACCTCACGATGTGTTCTTGGTCACTTGTTCTGAGAAATGGGCGGGAAATCTCACATAGAGACGTGGAGGGTGTATCAGCATCTAGTAAGGCTAATGCTTGGAATCGTGTCTGATGATGTGCGTAATAGAATCCTTGAAATGGACCGTAGAGCCAGGTGGTATCGTTCTCTTTATCCCTGTTACTGTTAATGAACAAAATAAGGCCATTCAAATCGAAAAGTGGGTTCAAACC